GCTCAGTCAGCCATGTGGGATCCAGTCACCTTAACCTCTATGCTATTGGCTGGCCCATAACGAATGTATTTAATCGAAGCTTTATTAGATTGTTGGAAAAGTCATGATGTAGTCTTCTATGTTTTTCTATGCAAAAATGCATCATGGCTTTTCTGACAACCCAATAAATGACACACAAAAATGAAGACAAGAATGAAGAAAGGAAGACTCACAGATTGAGGGAAAACTACTTTTACTCCCGGGTTTGATGAAGAATGGCTGCTGTGTAGAAATGTGGCTGGAGTAAGGGTATGATCTAACAATCATAGACCGAGGGAAAAATCCAGCAAGGCCTGTCAGTCCAGATTCTTTTTTACTTTTTTTTTTGGAGAGGTTTTTGCTATAGGGTGCACGTGCTTGCCAGAAAGACAGAGAGAGACAGAGAGACAGAAAGTGAGAAATCACACCCCCCCCGGGGGGGGATGGCCACACCGTGGCCATGCCGCAATCCCTTCTCCTCCATTCTCCTCTCACGCACGCATACACGGGCCCGGCGTTGAGTTTAAGCCACCAGATCCAGACTCGAACCACGGTCGACTACATGGGAGTTCAGCGACATAGCCATTACACTAACTGCTGGTCCCTGTCCAGATTCTTCTTGGCCTCTCCATGTAGGATTTCTTCTCCAGGGGCAGGTATGGGGCAGAACCCTCCTAGAATGAGTCTGCAAGGGAGAAGGGCGAGAGTGACCTTTCTAGATTGTGTGAGCTCCTCTGGGGGAGAGGGGTTCTAGTTCCTATGACTCATCTTAGAGATGAGGATCGCCGGTTTCTATGACTCACGTTGGAGGACAAGACATTGGTGGGAGACAGGAACTTGGTAGAAGCTCAGAGAAAGACTTTGTTTCTGAAGCCTTTCAATCTCCTTTAGTCTAAAGTACTCAGCATGCCAGAGTGCCATAATTTGGGGTATTGTTTTCTTAACCTGAACATCATAATAATGATGTTAGAAATTTTTCTGGAAGGCCAGCCTGTGACACAGTAGTTAAGGAAGCTGGATCCCACATGGCCAACTCTATGGTTCAAGTCATTGACCCAGCAACTTAAAAAAACATCAGATACTTGTGCATGTGTGTCCAAAATCCTAAAAGAAGGGGAAATGGAAGGGATTGAAGTATGACCTTACCCACATGAAAATGCTTTCTCTTTTTCTCTCCACCCACTCTCACTGGCAAGCACGTGCATTCTCTGGCAAAAAAAAAAAAAAAAAAAAAGGCGGGGGGTTGTTAACTTGGGCTGAGGTCATTACCACTGCTGGGCTCAGGAAAGTCTGGGTAGGTATGGCAAATTCGTGGGAAAATCCACCAGGCATCTGAGAAACCTCTTTAAAGAGGACAAAGAGCCAGTC